CTCCAGAACACACGTGATTCGTCGGTGAACATCCAATGAAAATTTGCAACCGAAAATGTTTGCATGATTTAAATATCCGATTATATGTTTTCTTACTTCACAATCAAACGTTACCATGTGCAGGCATATTTCTAAATAACAATGTAAAGGTTAATGGAAATTTACATAACCAATTCATATGCGAGGACACAGATATTGTTAGTAGATCATATAGCAAATACACAAACAAACAAACAATAGGCACGTGTTAACTGCAATACAAAAAATCCTGATATAGAAATAAGTGGTTCGAACTCATAAAATCATCTTAATAAGCTTCCATTGCGTAAAAATAATATAATGACGTTTTTTCTCTAATCTCTTAATTAGTCATCAATACCCATCATACTTCACGGATTCAAATATTGTGTCGAGCGCCAAATCTTTCTCTTCTGTCCTTTCTAACATTTAGTATTTACTGTAAATATAGAATTGTATTTTTTTATATTTCGTCTCTTGTTTAATTTATAAAAGAGCGATGTTCAGTCAAATTGAATGCAATGACCACTGTGGGGAAGTCTGTAAAGTGGACGCTTATTACAGGTGTTCTCTTTATACAGATTCAGTTAACATGAAAATAGCTGATATGGGGAATATTAAAAGTGGTCTCTAAGCACAGGTGGTCTCTTAATAGAGGTGGTCCTTGGTGCAGATTTAGCTGTATGTATATAAGAAAATACTTTTATAAGTTGTACAACTTTTCACCGCTGCCTCAAGCTGAATTTCGGCGTTAATACAATCAAATCTGTATTTTAAAACCAACCAACGGTAAGCTGAAACTTGGCCTCTTAACAGAGGGATTTTTTAATAGAGTATTAATGTACAGTTAATTGACTTGTCGCGATGAGATAGATGATATATATGGTCTCTTAAAACAGGGGATTGTTAAATAGCGATGGTCTCTCGATCAGATTTGATTGATTCGTTTGTTTAAACTAATGAAATATAAACGCACTGCATCGGTAACCAATAATATAGGCGGAAGGAGGCAGTGAAATACGACCGGACGGAATTCGGTGATTTGATTACAGGTATTTATCAAACTACGTAAAGCCATGCCCCGAGGTAATTCTACTAAATATGACTTTACTGGTTACATATTTGCAGTATATATAATATTTCAATCCGTTACGTTGATGGATGGGACGAACAGCCTGAAGCTTAAATAGGAGGTCAGATTCTTGGAAAATGTTAAATACTCCATAAGTGACACATACATGGGCAACTAATGATGCATAGAGCATCTTACATGAGTTCCCATTTCATATGAGATTTATTAAATGAGTCTAAGAATTTCTTGTGAATTTCTTTCGTGATTCGTGACGAGTTTCATAATTTCGTGACGAGTTTCATAACTTCATATGAAATGAAAACGAGTGTAAGTTTGTGGCATTTATTCGTGTAAAACGACAATTTCCATGCAACCTTGAAATGTAAAAAAGTCTGTGACGTCATGTACAATGTACTTGTCCTGGGCGTGACGCGTCAACTGAAACAATTGAATTTACAACCAATCACAAGGATGATAGGTCATATTACATGTATGGGTTAATACGCAAAAAATACGACATATGTATATTCACTGGATAACACAGCACATTATGTGATAAATAAAAATATCATTTGATTAAACGTTAACAAAATGTTACGATCACATCCAGTTCAGCAGATCGTTATATATCTTTAATCAAAAACCGTTTTTAAATAGCTACACATTTATATCAAGGTTATATGTTACCTTACAGGTTTTTTAGATGAATTTGTATCGGAGTTATCTCACTTGACACGTTTTATTTAGCATTGTCCGACTAAGAATACTTTTCATTTTTCACAGGGACATGATAATTTGTTATAGCTATATTTGGACCTAAACTATAGCTGTAACAAATTCTCATGTCCCTGTGTCAAAATCCACAATTCCTGGAAGATTAATTTTTTAAAACAAAAGTTCAATCTTAAAGTTGAGACTACTCAAAATAAATTGATACTGATACAATACATTGTTTGACTTATTTCAAATTAATAAAACACGTGAAAAAAAAGTTTTACAAGTCTCAGGTACAGGGCTTTCGTCTTTGAAGTTTGTAAGGATGTCAGAGTTATCTCCCTTACATCAATACCCGTTCTACGAAAAACAATAGGAACAAGGGCCTTAGCGGTCACATGAGTTATATTATAGGTACTGGTAGCTCAATTTCATTGTTCAGATGTGATTTGGAAATCAACATGTAAACAAAGTGATATACAAAGGATAAGAACTTAAAAAAAAATTCAAGTAAATTATTTTGCTACTGAGAAAAATATTTATTGTTATTTATTTAGCTGATTTTCCTTACTTTCTTACTTTCTGATACTATTTGATTTCAATTTCATATTAACTATTCCAACAAGTTTGAACTATTTCTTGCTGAAAATGGACAAGATATAGTCAGAAGTGTTATTTCCCTATACAAACCAAGGAAAACAGATAACCAAAGGGTAATAAAACTAACAATTTATATAATGCACCTAGGGCATTTCCATCCATAAAAGAAACTCGAATCCTGTACAGGCAAGGACAGATTCTATTTGTTCAAACCATCTAATTGCCATCTCATCACAATTATCCCAACCAAGTTTGAATAATATCTTGCCGAGATTAGACAAAATATACCAAAAGTGTTATTTACCTATATAAACTATATTTACCCTCTCCCAATGCAAAGGGAGAACTATAAAGCATTTTCCCCATTTGGGCCCCACCCCTCAAGCCCCTGGGGATGGGGCAGGATCTTTTTTTCTCATACCATCTAATTGCCATCTGGCATCATAATCATTCCAACATAATTCGAATAATTTCCAGATGAAAATGGACAAAATATACCCAAAAGTGTTATTTCCCAATATAAACTTAAGTCAACTTTACCCCCTACCAAAGCAAAAATTGATGGCCTGGGGGAAATGAAATTAAAAAATAGATCAAGACCCTGATGGAATTTTCATCAATGCACAGAATTTGATTGTAGTACATCTGAGTCTGAATAAGAAGACTTTTGAAATATTGGGTAAAGTTTCCCTTTGAGGCCTCACCCAAGCCCCAGGGGATGGTCCAGGAATACCAATTTTACACTGTTATACCCTCTTCCACCAAAGATGATTCTGACAAAGTTTGAATAATTTCCTGCTGAAAATGATCAAAATATACCCAAAAGTGTTATTTCCTTATATAAACTATAGTAAACTTTATCCCCTCCCGGAGGGAAAACAGATGGCCCGGTGTACTGAAATTTAAAATTTAAATAGAGCCCCTGATGAGTCTGGAGAAGAAGATTTTTGAAATATTGGTTATTTTTCCCTTTGAGGCCCAGCCCTGGCCCCTTGGTTTGGGCAAGATTTCAAATTTTACAATTTGATACCATCTTCCTCCAAGGATGATCCTCAACAAGTAAGAATAATTTCCTATGGAAATTGGACAAAATATACCCAAAAGTGTTATTTCCCTATATAAACTATAGTAAACTTTACCCCCTCCGCAAGGGAGAATAGATGGCCCCGTCTGATTGATCCGAAAAATAACAACACCTTGTCAGGACCTTGAGTCGTTCATTCCTAAAAGGTTTCAGTTAAATCGGCCCATTAGAACTTGACTTTAAGTTTGAAATAGTTTTTTTCAAAATGGCAACATTGGCGGCCATATTGGATTTTTGAGCAGCCAGAAAAATAACAAAACTTGGTCAGGAAGATGTCAGTAACATTCCCAAGAAATATAAATGAAATCCCTTCAACAGTATTTCAGCTTAAGCTGAAAATGTAAAATGTTAACGGCCGACAAACGATGACGGACGAAGACGGATAGCAATAGGTCACTTGAGCTTAAGCTCCACCAATAAAACCTGGCACGTCCTTAAATGACCATAGATAGCTGTTAAAAGGACGTTAAAAACAATCAAACCAAAAACAAATTAGGCTCAACAGAAATAAAAAATGTAACAAAACAATCTGAAAACTTATAATTTACTTTGTGAAGTATGCACGTCCTTATTAGTCAACATGCATAGCAGCTTTGCCCCGACTTCACGTTTGACCTAGAAGTGAAGGACGTGCTCACCTAAATTTTAAGCACTACCTGTTGCAGATTCAGAAAAACTCCAAGATTCCTAAGTAAAAAACATCCTCAACAGTTCAATATTTACTTTTTTGACCCGTGACATAGAGGTCAAGGTCACCTTGACCTGTCTGCATTGCACTGCACACCTTTTGTAAGTGTGTACGAAACTACTTAAGGAGGCTCCACACTTACGAAATTAACCAGTAAAATTCGTTGAAACTTATGCAACTATGTTGAGTCGTTGAGTTGATTTTATGAAAATCTAAGCATTCCGATAATTAGGGGACTTTTTTGGAAAAAAATACAAAAAAAATGAAAGTTTGTCAATATGGAAATGACGACACGGTATACATGCACAATTCTTTTGAGATTATTGAGTTCGAGCTGTACTTTTTCCGAAAGTACGTCACAAAAATGGACACTGATGACGATGTGTGGAGCCACCTTAAACGATCACTCCTAATCAATTTGAATTTGTTTTCTTCCTTTGTCCAGTGAAATTTACAAAAGACAGCATTTCTAACCTGACCAAGAACATAGTCCCTAGTGTAGTATAGCACCCACTGCTCTGTGGGAGTACAAACGGTTAATAAAGAAATTGTTCACACTTTTGAAATGATAGCATTTGTTTCTAAAAATATTGTACTTATTTGATATGTTTCACCTACAAATTAAGATCATGGTCCTAAATCCAGTGCACTTCACATCTTTAGTAGACAATGCAGATATACTTTAACTTGCATCAAGAAATCTTCAACAGTTTCAATTTCAATTTTCATCAAAAACAATCTTCATATTGAGGGGATCCTTATTTGACCTTTGACCTAGAGGTGAAGGTCACAGAGACCTAATAACTGAGCTCTGAACAATGCAATGAAATCAAATTTCTTTTTATTTATTTCTGAAGCATCAAAACAAATCCATTTAAATAATAACATCAGTGAGGGATAATGGATTACTTCCTTAGATGACTCCATGCTATCTAGGTTTATCAATATACCAAATGCTCTTTGAATCTCAAAACAGCATTATTTAACTCATTTGTACAAAAACATGACATGGATAGTATAAAACATCTGTAGAAGTTATTAAGAAACAAACATAATTCAATAATTTGTAATGTTATTACACACTAAATCTACCTTACTGTACACTAACAAAAGGAGATAGCCATTACTGACTGTTGGGTTGGCCTAAGACACAAATGAACCACAAGACTTGAAACCTTCAAGTGCAAACAATGAAATATGCTTACATTCACATTCTTTTTAATATGAAATATGAAAATGAATTTTTGAGGGATGTATTTTTTTTTTGTAGCCAAAGATAGGATATTTAATTGAATCACATTTTTTTTTTCTTTTATTATTTTCTCTGGAAGTTTTCTGTACAAGTTAACTCATTTAACCCTGAAGACACATTTGAACTCTTCCAATTCAAAGGTCGGAATAGTTCATTATAAAATTTAGGGTTGAATGAGTTAAGCCATCAAGATGAGTCCGGATCCTTTGTCGCCTGTACAATCAAAGATTGTTAATGTTGTCACTTTTGGTGTTCCTCTATCAAACATTTATAAAAATTCTCTGGAAAGCTTCTCTTTCGAACCATATCCAAAAGTTCATGTATTTGCATATTCCGTGAACGACTATTCCGTCTTTTCGTATTGCAGAGTTATCTGTTCTTGTGAGCAGGTATTGAATGTTACATCATTTGTTTGTGAGAGTAACGTCATGAATTTTTGAGAAAATGACGTAATTTTCTCACACAAACTAATGACGTAACAATCAATACCTGCTCACAAGAGCAGATAACTCTGCAATACGAAAAGACGGAATAGTCGTTCACACTGAAATTCACCTATTCTTTAGACAACCAAACAACCCAGAATGAATTACAAATACTTTTTCCATAAATTAATATCTCATAAATAGTCTATCCCCGAGTATTAAAATAATAACCAAGCCCGACCTGTGCCTTAACAAAAATCTAAATTACATTCAAGTGAGGTGGCACTATAAAAATGATGCCGTTGGAAGCACGGTCCCACTACAAACAGAACACAATACATCTCCAGCACACATGCAGGCATACACACATAGGGAGATATTAGCCAGGTTGGCATAGGCCTAGTAGTAAGCGCCTGATATGGCAACTCCTGCGAATTCCTCAAAACTGTATATGCTAATTGTGTTAATTGTATATCTATGTACTGTAAAGTGCTTAAGAACGGCTTATGTTAGCTAGATAGGGCGCTATATCAAATGTTGTATATTATTGAATGTACAGAATAAGATCATCATATAACCAGTTCAGGGGTAAAGGTAAGAACTCTACATTTGTGGAAAATAAATTAACATAATGTACAAAAGAAGTGTGATATGTACCTTAATCTACAAGAAATATAACTTCTCAAAGCTCTAGATCTAATTGTAACAATATTCATGTATGATAATTATTATCCAGGGTTACGTTAATCAGGAGTAATCTCCCTTGATGGCAGTAAATTGAAACTTTCTCTCCCGAGGTTCTTTGTAACACTCTATATAGCTAATCAACATATTTAAAAAGTAACAAATTTTGAAAATGAAATTATCTCAGCTGCTATATGCCTTAAAACCCTTTAAAAAACATTCCTATATTATTGTTGTCAGGATGATCTACCCTTTGTGACAAAATGAATCTTGTCACAAAGTAATTTGTTATGTACTGATAAAATCAGTGTTGGAGAAAACCCTTACTATAATGCTGAACGGATGTGATCAATGACATCCTCAAATTTCTCCATGATTTTCAAACGTTAGGTATCAGCCTTGCGACTGATCAGTTTATTCACCAGAAACCAATCCAATAGCAAATTGGATGCCTTCGATTTCGTCAGGACTTACTCCAGGGATGCAGAGAACGTTAGTGAGCATTATCACTGGAATTTCGAGGTTGGATCAACTACAATCACAGAGAACCTAGACCTCAAAATAATTTTAACAAATGAAAATCCAGAAGGAACCAAACAAAACAGACCGGGACCATCTAGTCACTTGTTACGACTTGGCTAAGAGAATTTTTGTTTGAAGTACATGTATATGTACTAGTTGTCAAACTCATTCACCCCTACATATCTAAACAGGACTTGCCCAGTCTTCGAATAGATAAGGTTCAAATGTGACTTTTGGGGTGGGTGGGTTTACAAACTTCAATCTGCATTCCTAAAGAATGAACTCTTTCGAGTCTGGTACTCACTGCTCTTAAGAAGAAGTTTAGCAACTGTTCTGGTGACCTGTTTGGTAAGACTGTTTATCTTCTACGGAGCAAAAGAAATAATTTTTGTACCAAAATTGGGTGAATTGTTTCGCATGGAATTAATTCAGAGTATGTTAAAAACGTGAAAACTTAACAAATGATTAACAATGGAAGACAACGATTGTGGTGATTTAGCACAACAGTGTTCAGCTCAGGTTCGCTTACACCCGTGAACTAGCACAGCAGTGTTCAGCTCAGGTTCGCTTATACCCGAGAACTAGCACAACAGTGTTAAGTTCAGGTTCGCTTACACCCTGGAACAAGCACAACAGTGTTCAGCTCAGGTTCGCTTACACCAGAGAATTAGCACAACAGTGTTCAGCTCAGGTTCACTTACACCCGAGAACTAGCACAACAGTGTTAAGTTCAGGTTCGCTTACAGCCGAGAACTAGCACAACAGTGTTCAGCTCAGGTTCGCTTACACCCGAGAACTAACACAACAGTGTTTAGCTCAGGTTCGCTTACACCCGAGAACTAGCACAACAGTGTTCAGCTCAGGTTCGCTTACACCCGAGAACTAGCACAACAGTGTTTAGCTCAGGTTCGCTTACACCCGAGAACTAGCACAACAGTGTTCAGCTCAGGTTCGCTTACACCCGAGAACTAGCACAACAGTGTTAAGTTCAGGTTCGCTTACACCCGAGAACTAGCACTACAGTGTTAAGTTCAGGTTCGCTTACACCCGAGAACTAGCACAACAGTGTTAAGTTCAGGTTCGCTTACACCCGAGAACTAGCACAACAGTGTTAAGTTCAGGTTCGCTTACACCCGAGAACTAGCACAACAGTGTTAAGTTCAGGTTCGCTTACACCCGAGAACTAGCACAACAGTGTTCAGCTCAGGTTCGCTTACACCCGAGAACTAGCACAACAGTGTTCAGCTCAGGTTCGCTTACACCCGAGAACTAGCACAACAGTGTTCAGCTCAGGTTCGCTTACACCCGAGAACTAGCACAACAGTGTTCAGCTCAGGTTCGCTTACACCCGAGAACTAGCACAACAGTGTTCAGCTCAGGTTCGCTTACACCCGAGAACTAGCACAACAGTGTTCAGCTCAGGTTCGCTTACACCCGAGAACTAAACCTTAGGCAAACCATCTACCAGTATATACTATAAATGCATAAAAATATATTTCAATAATCGTATCTTTACAAAAACTTTTACTTGAATATCTAAATCTGATTTAAAGTGGCTGAACATTTACTGTGATGTAAAGTCAAATTGGAAAGACAAAAAAGATTTTACTGATGTTGTGTAGCAGACCCAGTTAGCTGTGACAGTTAGCCAGTGATTATTGAAACAGGATGTATCAAGAAAAGCCTCATAGACAAACAAGAATTCCATGGTAGTGGATGTGTCGCCTGCTCAGCACTTTTAGTGATAAAAGTGTTTTGGCTTGAGTTACCGCGTAAACAGATATGCCAAAACGCAGAAAATTGAAACTTGACAGAAAAACCTGTGATATATGTTGAACATTATTGCTCTCAGCATTACCGTACAAAATTTGAAAGGAATTGATTAAAAAATAAAAAGGTTCTTACATTTTCTACACAATGGCATAACTCCACCAAAAATGCACGTAAACTTCTGAAATGCGAACTTGTCTGCACTATATTGGAATGCAATATGTGTACCAAGTTTGAGTTCAATCAACCAAAGGAAACTTAAGTTATCGCACAGTAACTGCGTTTCAGACAACGCAACCAAAGACAAAGCGCTGAGTAATACCTATATGTCGTCTCGCGTCGCAGGGGACACAAAAAGGAGCCACTTATTTAGGTGACCAAGTTCAGAAATGTTCAATATTTTAAGCCTTGGAGAACTGAAGTAAAGAGAGTATGTGACTGCTATTGAACGAGAAAAGCAAATATGATCAAAGATCTCACAATATTCTCACATAGATCTACCGCAAGTCATAACAACATATTTGTGCAATACAATATTACTTAACTGCCTTTCATAACTTACAAGGTGATCATACATGTATTTTTCAACTTTGAGAAATTGTGAACAAGTAAAATTTAAAAGTTCCTAAAATCCCATTAAGATACATGAATAATCAAGTTTACCCCATTTGTATTTTAATGGAAGTAAATAATGTACAATAATGTTAGGCACAAAAAAGCTTTTGTGAGTCCATCGCCTTTTCATGCATATCAAACAATGACAGGAGTTTGACGTTATATCCATAAAATGTAACTGTCTATATGGAGAAAAAACCTCCCTCCATATATATACTACCTTATTATAGTATAGGGGGAGTTTTTTCTCCATATACATTTCTATACATGTATCTCCTGTTTTGTATTATCAACAAAATTGTAGCAATTTACATATTAAAGTACATTCATACATCAATCAATACCAAACAATTTCAAAATATTTTACCAGGTGAAGAATATTTTACACAATGTTACCCTCAAATACTACGACATTTTAAAGGTTACTACATAAAGATTTTATCTTTGGATAGGATAAGAAAACACCAGAATAAAACAAATGACACCTTTTCAGTGTAATAAGAAAACATGCTCATAGTTTTATGTTAGGGGTTTCAACGCAACCATGAAAACAGCGAAATAAAATTCACATTGTGTTATTTATACACATGTATTTGTTTTATCCTGTTTATGTGTTAAACATATAACACGTTCATGTATTTAAAGATTTGCTTCGAAATGTTGTAGAAATACACTTGACATGTTCAGAAAACCTGCATCTCATCCCAAAATATGTTTAAATGTTTGGGAATTTGTATGTACATATGAGAAATCCCAGTCAAAACTTAGCATAAAAGATCTCATACCTTGCAAATCAAACCTTTTCTTAATATGGAGAATGTGTGAGCACATGTTCTATTCATGGTGGCTGTCACTTCAGATTTGAACTTGTCAACTCGTCTAAATTCTCGTCGGTTTCAGAATAAAATACCCATTTTAAGAATTGCACAAAATATTTCATTACCCTGTAGTAATACAATCATTACAAAGAGTTATTCACTGCAGCTAAAACAAATATTACAGAAATCTTATGGGAATACAAAATGTACCTATGTTTGAGTATACGCTTCCAAATAGTGGCATTGATACAACAAACAGTATGACTGGTAAACATGAAACCAATCATGCATGTAAAAGGAGAACCATTTTTTTAATTAACAGTCCCTGCCATTTTTAAGTCTGGATTAATATTACTCCAACGATAATATCTAGCATTAAAGATAACTAAATATTATTTTAAATTAGGTTTGGGTGTTTTTCTTAACTCATTCAACCCTGAAGACACATTTGAACTCTTCCAACTCAAAGGTTGGAATAGTTCATTATGAAATTTAAGGGGTGGATGAGTAATATCCCTTTCTTGTTGTTATGGATATATTTCAACAAGAGCTCAACAAAATCTGTGATCTAAAAATGAGGATTCTATGAAATTCTGATATTTTTTACTTTTAAGATAATTTCACAATACTTGGAATGGTAACTGATGATAAACAAACCTGACCAAGTGAGTCTGTGCACCAGCTACTAGAAGCATTTAAATCTATTCTAAGTAATCAGTGCACATAATGTCTGAATGAGGAAATTTAAAGTCATCTGTCATCAGGATGTTTACATGGAAATCTGCGGAAACCTTATTTTGGTTTAAAAAGTGTTATCATAATGATATTTGAAAAATAATTCACAAAATAAACATGCCATTTGGACTGGTATGTCTCACCTATGCCCCGCTTTGACCATCAATGCACATATCAGAGAAACTAACTTAAACACAAAAACTTAATGCTGATGGAGATGCTGACAAAGTCAATGGACCATGAAAGGTAGGCTGCTTTCAGCCTTTGATGCGTGCAGATGTACTATCTAAGATGCATCTATGGTCCAAGTGTGGTTGGTGTAGCACTTCTCAGAGAAACTAACATAAATACTTAATGCTGACGCCGTTGCCAGAAAAGCAACACCCAAGTCTCGCTACTTCGTGGCGAAGGGACAGAAATGACATGATACACAGAAGTTGCATATTAACAGGAACAAATCAGCAACGGCAGTACTGCTAAGGACAGATCATCAACCACCAAAGATCAATGATCACCAGATGACAAAACTAAGCCAGAATATCAAAATGGCTGATTGTCAAATATTCTAGTGTTGCTATCTAAATATTTTCTTAGATGTAAACCATGTTTCCGAACTTCAAAAATATTTTATTCTGCCTGATCAGGATATTTTCTGGATCCAATTGGCCATATGTTTGGCCAGCATTTTATTGGCTGTTGCGACATATTGTCTAACATTCAGAATGGTTTTTTTCCTGCAAATAATATATCTCGTCAGGTTTCATGACATTGTCCATGGGACAATCAAAACATATTCAGTATTACCATGACTTTACTACGAAAATAAATAATGCTGATTCTGGACCATACAATCAGAAAATCATCTTTATACAAATAAATACTTAAAATAGTTATCCTGCATTAAGCTCAGACTAGGCCAACACATAATTACTCGACCTTACACTGGACAATGAAAGAGCATTTGCTGGCATTTCTTTTGAGCTTCAATAGATATGGATGATGGGCTTATTGCCAGATAAATATGGAAATATGGACATTCTCTTCCACCAATACTTATTAACAACTTGACAGCCATTTTCTCTCACTAATACTTATTTACAATATACAACTTGACAGCCATTTTCTCTCACTAATACTTATTTACAATATACAACTTGACAATCATATTTTCACACACAAATAAATTCAATACGACATAAAATTTCTAATGCATTTTTAGTATCATAATATTCATAAAATCGGTACAGTGATATTTTTTTTTGCATGTGAAACTGGTAAAAATATCCTGAAATGATTATAACTGACTATACTCGCACAGAAACTGAAATCTGAGATTTACACTTCTAGTAATCTTACAGATTAGCATACAATTAACAACCAAATAGCCATCTCCCTCCAAAGTAATAAAAAAAAAACACTTCACTACAGCACTCTCAATTCGGTGCAATAGGATTGCCAACAAGTGTATGTGGCGATATGAAACAGCAATTTAGGTAAATAGCAAAGTCCTAGAGTTCTCTCCCCCTTCACCTAAAATCTTGCTTAATATATTAATAGCACATTTGGCAGCATGAAGGCATTTTTTTTTTTTAGAAAAGCAGCACAGCCTTCCTCCATTTTGATATTTCTGATAGGGTGTATTACACAAAACATTGCAAAATCTTTTTTAGGACAAGGACTTTGCTCAAAACTAAAAAAAAATGAAATTGACCTAAAATTACAAAACATTTAATGAGATATTAGTGGACGCAGGCATTGCTGCCTCTATATCCACATCAATATAATTTGATATACAATTTGGTAAACATAAAATAAGTCTATTTACATTTTGTAAATACGTTATGAGATGAAATAACATCTTGTTCTTTATATGGTTTATATTTAGATTTAAAAAGAAAAATCTGATTCTAAAATAAAATGTGATTTGAAAATGAACTAAATTATTTGTTAGCCTTTTTCAACTTGAAATGAAAGCTAACGCATATATGAATTGTGTTTTTTAGGTCTGTAGAAGAGAATTAAGAGATTTCCTTCATTTCAGTAGATCAAAAATCTCTTCGTCAAAAATACAAAGCAGGTTGTAAAAGTCTTTCTTTCCTTAAAATAGCATGTAAATATTCATGAGGAAGATCAACTTCTAATGTATTCCAGAAAGAGAATTTAAGAACTTGATATTGAAATTAAAGAATAAATTAGCATAAAACTATCCCAGAAATATATACATGTATGAGGATTAGTGGATCTGTCTTTTTTTTACCTTCACCACGCATGATTATTGTTTTTCTTTTGGCCAAATCAACCAATGTTGATAATTCTTAAGACCCTGCCTGTTTATATCATCAATTATAAATAGCCAGCATTATCTGTCTCCACTTTCACAAACATTCCTTAACATAAGAAAACTTCCGTTAAATTTCTTCATCGGAATGCATTGCTCAAGTTAAGGAAATGTTTTTGAAACTTCAGATTCTCTCCTAACTACGTATATAGTGATGCTTCGTTGATGCAAAAAAATCGATTTTAGGAAGATTTGTGAACCTTGGGCCTACTCCCTATATTTTCATATCTGGAATGGCACAAAGATAGCTAGGAATACCCAGTAATACTGAAAATGTGATAACATCTACAGAAATTACATCAATTATTTAATCATGGCACCAAGTTGATAAAATTTCGGAGATTCTCATCATGGCCTTTCTTGTGATGTTGGTGGCTTGGGATCTCGAAGCAATCAACAGGGTAGGCGCTGACGGTTTTGTTGTAGAGAGTCAAACTGTATTCTACACAGCCAATAACGTGTAGCTTGTGTTCTTCATGGAAGCTCACTGTGGACGTCACGTTCAGGAAGCGGGCGCACAGTGCTGCCACCTTTGTCAGAGAGCCCAGGCAAACCTTCGGCGGTGACTCGGCTACAAAGGATATAAACATTGTTATTTACAGTTCTATGTGATGAATGGCTTTTGTCTTGGGGATGAAACGGTAAACTTTTCTCACGGTTCAGTGTATGTATTGTGGTGCAAGGCCAGCAGTTTGTTGGTGAAACGGTAAACTTTTCTCACGGTTAAGTATATGTATTGCGGTGGAAGGCCAGCAGTTTGTTGGTGAAACGGTAAACTTTTCTCACGGTTCAGTGTATGTATTGCGGTGCAAGGCCAGCAGTTTGTTGGTGAAACGGTAAACTTTTCTCACGGTTAAGTGTATGTATTGCGGTGCAAGGCCAGCAGTTTGTTGGTGAAACGGTAAACTTTTCTCACGGTTAAGTATATGTATTGCAGTGCAAGGCCAGCAGTTTGTTGGTGAAACGGTAAACTTTTCTCACAGTTCAGTATATGTATTGCAGTGCAAGGCCAGCAGTTTGTTTTATTACTGTTCAGTATTGTTGTATATATTCACCAAATATTTAAAAGAGTACTACAGACTTCTCAAACAAATCAAATGTTGATTTCCCTTTACTGCTGCTGGTCGTAAACGAACGTGATGAGTTGTAAGACACAGGAGCAACTCTCGATCGGTTTTTCTGACACCATTTTAGATTATTTTCTATCTGACACGACAGAGGTTCAAAGTAAGACCGCAATTGATTGGTTCATAAGGGAGTCGGACAATTCAGAATCTTGCTTTCATACAAAACTTGTACTGTCTTTAAACAGTTGCTGAACCGTGTACCAAACCGAAAGAAAAATACCGTAGTTCAACAACACTGCAGTTTACCGTTTCAACCCTACTACAAAATACAATGTACAACATTATCACTAGTCTTGGGAAGTGATTGATGACAGATACTGATACAAAGGTCAGGTAAAGGGATCGGCTCTGAAGTACAATATCACTGTAACATAAAATTAGACGCAATGCTATTCCAAAGTTTGTGGGGTACAGTACTTTGATCAAAAGTACATGTATGCCAGTCCAAAAGGTAATGTACATGTACAAAAAATATATGTACAATAACAGTGATACATTTGTATAAGAGAAGTACAATATTGTTTTTTTAGTCAGGAGTATCTTATATATATATATACATGCTCCACACGTGGGTATTTCTAAAAGAAAATATTTTGTGTAAATAATAGTTTTACTAGTAATTCTAAATCCTAAACAAATAGTACTTTCTGCCTTAAGACCATAATTATGTATTTCTATTGCTGTGATATCGCTATGGCGGGTACGTATATAGCGGACGTCGCCATAGCGAACCATTATTTGACGTCATAGTTTATGAAGTCACAACATCTACCTCAAATAAACAGTCTGAAGAATCTCCTAGAAGAGAAGAAAGTACTTAAGACTTGTTGTTGAGAATTTTTCTTTTTACGTTATTTATATATATAAATAGTGACTTGGCTAACATATATTAATTGCTAACTTTAGTGTATAACTATAGTTGAGAGTCAGTAACAAATTACAAATGCTGAAACCATCAACCAACCAGAATCTAGTTGAAAGTTGTATCGTTTAAATTAAACAATATATTTTTGTACCAATCTTACAGAGTTTGTGTAACAGTTTTGTTCAATTTTACATGCCAATAAGACTGTTCCAAAATTTGATCAAATCAAAATACACATGTATGTACATTGTATATGTACCTATTAGTAAGCTATAAAGTCACATTTGAGCCTAACCAAATCAAAGACTTGGCAAGTACAGTTTAAATAAACATAAATATGCAAATTATTTCAATTATGTATGGAAAAAAATATCCTTTTCAAGAGCCAATGCATAATATTGTAATACAATATTATGCATTGCATATTTAAAGGAATACAATTTGTAGTGTACTTACCTGAGATTATACCTTTGTACAGTGGTTTTCCATCCAGGGAAAATCTTAGGTCGAAATCCTGTAAAATATCAAAATAATTGAATAGTAAAAACCATGTCATGTATGACCTTGTACAGTTTGTATAAAATATTCTTGTTGAAAGCAGATGACCAGGAAAAACAGAACGCTTTTAATGAACTTTGAGCTGTCTATTTTATGGATAATTAATTGTTTATGACAGTTAAATATAACCTGTAAACATTCAAATGACTTATTCAATTAGTTTGAAATTGAAATTTTAGCAAAAACAAAATGGGAAAAAATATCTTTTCATATTAAATTGGGATCATTATTTCACAAAGTGAATGCATTTATTCATTTCAAAATTAATTTGTGTCAACGATTTGTTTGTTTGTTTGAAAACCTGGCTTCAGCTAATTAAAGACAAATGAAGATGAGTCCCTCGGTAGACATGGCCAAAGAATAATGCAAGCTCAATCTTTCCCCCACTTGGGGGTGAGATACCGGAATCGTAAGTTGCCAAAAATAAGGCACGATAAGTGTTTAACAACTAATTATATATTAAGACTCTTTCCCTGCAGAGACTCTTCCCTTGAGTGTTTGGATTCACCATCTCATCTGAAGGAGATAAATAAATACTGTATTATTTTTCCCGTACCCTGTTGAACTTTTTATACACTGTTTTAATGCAATGTTGACGTTGCAGGCTCAAGCTTTGTTAACGTGACGTTAATGCATTGTTGACATGATGTCATATATATACCGTACGTATACAGTTGTTTTGACTAGGGAATCCCCTTATCTCAAAACTAGAGTGAAACATGGAGCTCGAGGTTAACCAATGTATTATAGTTGGTTTTACAATTTGAAAATTAACTAAAGACAGTTACATGTAGAAAAACATGATAATATAATCAACCATCATGAGTTTGAGGACTCTTTTTTCTCCCACCACATTTAGATAATTATTATACCTAAACAAGAGGCCCATGGGCCTTAACGGTCACCTGATATATTTATACAGAGAGTTGATTTTGTTTTTAACATGAACAGAAATATTATTCAAAGTGACAAAAAACAATAAAACCACCTTATTCAATATCTAGCATACAGATTTCAGATTTTCA